GGGTATATAAAGCCTGGGAGAGAGGCCTAGGGTTAGCGCTCAGGAAGTGAAAGGCACATTGAAAACTAAGGTGACCAACCCTCCTACAAAGCTAGCAAACAGCCGGATCCCTACAATCCCGCCTGTAATGGCTATATGAGAGGCATCGGTAACAGCGACGATGGAGGTCTCTTGGCTTACCATCTCAGAAAAGGCGATTTGGCGCAGATGAGCATGCAGCTACAGGTGACGGGGCATAACCCGAGACCAGAGCGTCTTTGAAGGACGCATGACGAGAGAGAGGCGGCCTAGAGCTAGCGCATGCAGGGACGGCAGGGGCTGAATGGGCGGCAGAGCGGGACAAGGAGGATCAGCGGGAGGAGGGGGGCAAAGCGAGGCAGCCGATTGGCCAGTGGGCGGCGACGCCGGTAAACGCGACGAATTAAGGCCAAGCACTTGATTACACACGGGGAGGTCAAGCGCCCGCCCGACCTCCAAGGCATGCAGATCCGCGCCAGAGACCCCGAAAACCTGGGCACGGGCCGCCTGCGGCGGGATATCAATCGATTGCACCTGAGCAGCGACGTGACCCAACCTCGGAGCCGGGCCAAGCAACGACGGCAGCCTGGAGTTGGCAGCCCAGACCGGGCCTCGTGCAACCGTCCGAGGAGAAGCCAAAGGGACAGAACCAGGGTCCAAGTCAGAAAGTGACATCCTGACGTAGAGCAAACCGGATTTCCAGGAATCGCGGAGCACTATCTCTTTGGCAATACACGCATGAGCGACCCGGAAAAAGAAACAACCTGGTTGCTGGGCCCTGGCAGCATAGCCGTTGGCGAAGCCACCGGACCAGCTGACCAGAAGAGAAGCAAAGAACTCCGGCGAAAAGAAGACGTCGTCGTTAAGCACGGCGGCGAGAACGTCGGCCGGCTGGCAACGACCAGCAACAGCCTCAACAGTGCCACAACCATACTTCGCCAGCATAGCATCCTGGAAACGCAAGCCTTCCATGGGGCAAACATGGTCCACCAGAGCGACAATCAAAGCAAGCAACAAGGCAACGGCAAGAAGATGGAGCAGGGATGCATCAACAAAAGGGGGAGGTTACCATGCGACAACAGAAGAGTGAGGCTACCATGCATCAAGATCAACATGCATCAGGGCGAAAGCTGCTGCATACCTGGGCACCAACGAAAAACTTGAAGGAAGGAGAGTAACTACCAGCCGGCGGCGACGAGGAACCAGTGGTGGTCGGAACGGGTCTAACGCTCTTGCGACGCGATAGTGCACACCGTAGCTGGGGTGGCCGTCGCGGCCGGGACCGGCGAGCGACGGTTTGGTGGCGCCGCCTCACGAGCAGAGGGCGACGGCTAGCGTGGCCGCCGATGTCGGGGTGGCAAGCGGCGGGGTATGCACTCCGCCTAGCCCTCACTTATATAGCATATAATTGAGACACTTCAACTGAAACAACATAGCATTGTTTGTAGTTACTTTACATATGTTCTTACCACTGCTTTGGACTGTAATAAAGCCCTGAATTTCAGTTACGTTGGGCATCGCATTGTAATCAGGTATAAACCCTAGCCGCCAAGTGGTTGGTCCACTTTCCTTTTCTTGACGATAGAACCCTAGCGAGCTTTTCCCTCCAATTCGGGTCTAGTTACTGAAATTCTCTGAAAATTAGCTGTTCTAGTGTTCAAGATCATGACACCCCTCCACTCCGACCAACCAACCTCTTCCCCAACCCCGAGCCTGCGACACCAACCGCAAGAGCCGAGGAAAACCCCCTCAAAACCCAGGAGCCGTGCTGAGCTGGCCCTCCCTCTCAAAGCAGTCAACCAGCCGCAGCTCCTCCCTCATTCCAAAGGGCCACGGTCTACGGTTTACTCTCACCAACCCACCACCCATCAGCATGGCCGAGCGTCTCGCCGCAGCCGCCACCCTCCGCGCCGCCGCTCCGTCCGGCCGCTTCCCGGTCGGCCGCCGCGCCGGGCCATCCAGCTCTGCCTTCTTCCCCTCCTCATCCTCGTCCTCCCCGGCTCTCCGCCTCGTCAGCCTCCGCGCCGCGTCGTCTCGGCCCTCCCAGGTCTGTGTCGGTTAGGTTCGGGCGGCCCAGGATTTGGACCCAAATGTTCTTGTTGCTGACTTGTGTTTGGTTATGTGTGTGATCGCAGAAGGCCAAGTCGGCGGGGAGGGGGCGATCGGTGAGGTGCATAGCAGCGGCGTCGGACGCGGCACAGCTGAAGGCCGCGCGCGAGGACATCAGGGAGCTGCTCAACACAACCCACTGCCACCCCATCCTGGTATGGTACTACCTCATAGCGACACGGCGATGGCACGCTTTTAGGCTACTATACTAGGAATTTATGCCTTGCATCAGCGTCGTCAATTAGGACAGTAAGGTGAATTCGATCCTTAGAGCAGTGCTGGGATTTTAACATCATAAAGTGCTTTGTTAGACAGTTTGCCTCTCAAAAAGGCTTGCCAACATATATCTCCACTGGACAAACCGCAACAACTTTCTGAATTAGACTCTGTGTCAAGTGATTTTCTTGTGTTATTTGTGCCAGGCTCTAGCGTCCATTGGCCCATCTAGTTCCATTTCTTCACTGTGGAGCTTAATATGCTTCCTTTTTTTTATGTATGGAGCCTAGCCCTACTATACTGAAAATGTTATGGTTACACATGAGACATTTGTTGTAATTTAATAGAATGAAGTGTGACGAGATTTGACCAATCAGGATATGAGAAGACTTCAGTTAATTAGCCATCAAACCGTGCAGAGTATTTAAAGGGCATTGTCTGATATGAACCTTATGTAAAAGGGTGCACCCAGTGCTGAAAGCTCCCACACAAGGTGGGGTCTGGGGAAGGGAATTTCTAGACGAACCTTACCCTTGCACAATAACCCTTCTGTTATGAACGTTATGTCATAGTAACAAATGTTGCATCGACATTACACAGATGAAGAGCATTATCAACTGCACTCTTTAGTCTTTATGCAGACTATATACCACATTTTCTTGTATTTTACCTTTGTATGGTCATAGGAAGTTTATCCTTGTCAGTAACAATCTTAGATATTTTCTTTCCAGTTGGCAGTCAAAAAAGCTTAAGGCATAGATAGGGATGCCATCTGTCCAAATAAGCACTGCCCACTGGAACTTTTCAAAACGAAAAATCATAGAAGTGAAACTTTTCATTTTGATGCAACTACTTAGTGCAATGCATCGGTACAGGGCCATTTTTGCTTTAGTTTACCATTCTAATACATATCAGTTTTCTATATCCGCTCCAAGATTATTAATTGTTATTTGTTTTGTTGCATCAAGGTTCGTTTGGGTTGGCATGATTCTGGCACATATGACAAAAATATTAAGGACTGGCCAGAACGAGGTGGGGCTAATGGAAGTTTAAGATTTGACGTTGAACTGAAGCATGGAGCCAATGCCGGTACAGTTACCTGGATTTTCCCGAGTACATTTCTTTGTTCCTCCTATGTCAACAGCTAGTAACTGAAAGTCCTGATCGGGTATCCTTAAAGGTTTGGTAAATGCTCTAAAGCTTGTGCAACCTATCAAGGACAAATACCCGAGTATAACTTATGCGGATTTATTCCAGTTGGCAAGTGCTACAGCAATTGAGGTCTGACCTTTGCCCCACTGTATCTGTCTAGGTTAGAATTAATATATCAATACTGTATTCAGACCTAATTTCCTTTCTTTTCTCAATCTGGTACCAGGAAGCTGGTGGCCCAAAGATTCCAATGAAATATGGACGGGTTGATGTCACAGGACCTGAGCAGTGTCCACCTGAAGGGAAGCTTCCTGGTTAGAAATCTTGTTCACTGCATATTCCAGCTCGTTGTGTTCTGTATATCCTTCTCTCTCTCATCTTTGAGTTTGTAAATATGTTTCAAAGATGCGAAACATCCCCTGACTGCTTTGCAGTAAACCAAGTGTATTCGTTATCTCCATAATCTTACTGATAATTCCATCACCACATCAAAAGCACAGAGTTGTTATTAATAATTTGGAGATAAAAAAGGCACCTGTGTATTGATAAATGCATTTAATATGATGATTGCTAATTCTTCAATTATGTGTTATTTATGTTTTTACAGATGCTGGCCCGAGTGCTCCTGCTGACCACTTGAGGCTGGTATTCTACAGAATGGGCCTTGATGACAAGGTATGCAAATAATGATCTGTGTCACCTGTTTGCCCATGCTGTTTTGGCTGGCGTTGTTGAGCTGTGTGTACGCTGTATCTGCAGGAAATCGTTGCTTTGTCTGGGGCACATACACTTGGAAGGTCTAGGCCCGAACGGAGTGGCTGGGGGAAACCTGAAACAAAATATACTGTATGCTGTTCTTAACTTTTCTGTGTATATATATGCTACCCTGGATGTTGTAATTCCCAGGTTAACGATTGCATAGCATGTTGCAGTATCATTTTGACCACTGCTGGAAATTTGCATACTTAAAATTACACTTAAAATCTCTTTGGGAACTAGCTGTGCTTGTTTTCAAGATTTGTACACTTTACATAATGTTTCTTAGCCTTTGTTTACATCTGATGGTGTCAGTTGAGATATGCAATTTTTTTTTCCAAACAGTCCTTATGGTACCCGCTTCAAAACATTAATGCTGTGTGCACCTTGCTCCATGTAGATGTACAAGTGAATTGCCTGCGTGAGTAATGTTCTTCCATTATTTGCTTTGACAGAAAAATGGTCCTGGTGCACCTGGTGGACAATCATGGACAGCTGAATGGCTGAAGTTTGATAACAGTTACTTCAAGGTAAGTGCCCCGTTCAATACTTGACATGCCTGGACAATTCATCTGGTTTGTTAGATCTGAGCTGGTAGCGATACTTTAGGAGATAAAAGAGAAAAGAGATCAGGATCTTCTTGTGTTGCCTACAGATGCTGCATTATTTGAGGACCCAGCATTCAAGGTGAGTCTGATGCTCAAACTGTATGTTCTCGGCATCCTATGAGAGTGAAATAATTCCTGAACTGACTGCATAAGAATCCACAACGCTTTCAGGTCTATGCAGAGAAATATGCAGCAGACGAAGAAGCATTCTTTAATGACTATGCGGAGGCTCATGCTAAACTGAGCAGCCTGGGTGCAAAGTTTGATCCTGCCGAGGTCAGTGTCAGCATCTCGTCCACAGTTTACCAAGAGTGGGCCGCCCTTCAGTTTATTCTACAAACCATTACATAGGCGTTGCTCTGCTCTCTGCTTTTGATCCAACCTTATTGTCCTTGTGTTTCAAGCTGATCTATGTGGCTGTCCTGCAGGGATTCTCATTGGATGATTAGCGCGGCGCGTTAGCCAGAGAACCCTTGAAGCAGCCAAACACACTTCCAAAAGGTACATCATACCCCTTCCCACTCCCCAGTTTGTTGATTCATGGCACAACCCTTTCACCCACTTGATCCCATCGATAAAACAAAGGGCTCACTTTGTTGTGATCCCTCGCAGGACCAGAGGACGGCACAACCTAATCACCATCGTTCCTCTCCAGCTTGGTGTCACCATACTACAGGACGAGGCATTTTCCCAACTTATTATCATATATGTACAAGATAGAGATTTTCCTTTCCAGCTTGGTCAAATTGTTAGATTTGGCAATTGAGGTGCAAAAATAATACAGGCATGCAAACAAATCTGAGCCATTCATTCATGTGAACCTGCTCCGATGACAAATTCGTTTCATTCAAAAATTTATCACATGATGCTTTGCCTGCCTGTGCAGTGCTGTTCCGTGCCGTGCTGTCATTTTTCTATTAGTCGTGTGGCTCATCGAGCACGGTGGGGGGGTGGTGCAGTAAACATCAGATCTGCAATACTGCAATACATAAACCCCTGGACCCTACAGCCTCTGAGGAGCTGCCTCCCGGCGTAAACCAGGAGTGATTTCCATTTGGCGAGCCCCTCCGTCTTTGTCTCCACGGGTAGGCAGAATCTTTGGAGCAGTGATCCATGGAGGGCCTGCCGGTATGCCTGGACCCGGTCCACAGTCCGTGCGTGCGTACCTACCGGTGGCTTCGAATGGATTGGACCGATCCGTTGGTGGTGGGTGGGCGTCCACCATTCATTCAAGGGAACAACGCTGGTTAATAAGACATCAGCAGGGCAGCAGGGCTGTGAATGAATGAATTAAGAAGGGCGTATGTGCTGTGGTGGTGGCGATGGCCTGCGACGACGGGCGCGGCATTAACTCGGATCGGCCTCACGTGCTCGCCACGTGCCGGGAGTGGTAGGCTCTGTGGCGCAAGCGGAACAACGGGCCAAACCCCAAAACTACAAACCCCAAGGAGTGCGCACTGCGGAGGTCCCGGGTCCGGTCACTTTCCCTCCCGGTGGCTATACTCGCGCTCACCGCTCCCTCCCGCCCAAATCACCCAACCGTTTCTGTTTACCCCTTTGGTACCTCTGGAAATGAGAAATAGGCGTCGGTTGCCTTGAGTTTCCTGGTGCTATTTTTACCCATTCCCGTGACAGCATACAAGAACGCACGACCTAAGGACAACTCCAACGCGCCGATGCAAACGGTCCTTGGTTTTGTCTGCTTTTTGTCCATTCAAAAGAGCGACCCGTGTTTCCGGTTTTAAATTTGGGTTGGTCGGCGCGTCCAACATAACCGACACATTAGTCCACATCATTAAGAAAAACCCGACTAGGTATATAATTTTTAAATTTAAAACATACAAATTAATAAAACATAATTAGACATTAAACCATCGCCCAAAGTCCACTTCAAACATAATTAAACATTATTTAAAAAAAATTGCAACCTCACAGCCACCCCAGCCTGCAGCCCTAGGTGTCGCCCTCGTCCTCAGAGCCGATGAGGGCGAAGAACGCGGGTGCCGCAGCCCATGGGAAGGCCTGCTATTAGGCCGTCAGCATCGCCTGCTCCCGCGTCTGCTGTTGCGGCAGCTCTGCTGCACGGCGCACGTGCTCCTCCTCCTCCTCCTCCCGTGCCCACCGTTGTCGGCGCTCCTCCTCCTTTCGCTCCAGTTGCATGCGTCGCTCCCTCGTCGGCATGCTCCTCCGCCAACGCGCGGGCCTTCCACTGCTCGATATAGGCTGCCTCCCGCGCCTCCGTCGTGCCTAGCCACTCGGGTGGTGTGCTGACCCACTCCCGCACGACGCCGTCCCACTGGCACCTCTCCGTGGCGACGGGTGCTGCCAACGTGGGATCAGGCTTGGGCTGCGATGGTGGAGGTGGTGGTGGTGGTGGAGGGTAGACGTAATCCCCCGCAGTCAAGAGCTGGAGCGCCTCCTCCACGCCAGTCCAGCGGGCGTCCTCCTCTCTCTTGGACTCCTCGAGGGCGTGCTGGTAGGCCTCCTCCAATACGCCCAGGTACACCGCCTCGGCCTCCTCGTCCTCCTGCGCCACCACCAGGGGGCAGTGGTGCAAAGCCGGACTCGATTTGGATGTCACCGCGGTGGCACACGTCATGCTCAGAGGCGAACCAGACGTCCTAGTCGGGAGAGTCTGGCGCGTACGCGGGGTAGCGGCGCTGCACCGGCCTCGGGAGAGCACACCGCTTGTGGATCTCCCCTGCACGCGCGTGCGGTGACTGTGGCACGGCTGGCACTGGAATGCGGTGGGGGTCGAGGTGCCAGTCGTGGGGAAAGTTGATGTCCGACCACGATAACAGGACGTCGTACTCCCAGTGGTAGCGCGCATGGTGCATCGGGATGTACAGCTTGCCTCGTTGCTGACGAGCCCTTCCCTCCATTGGCACAAGCGTCTACCTCGCCGGACCGCATGACGAGCTGGCCTCGACGCTGTACTTGGCCTTGCCCTTGCCTTTGCCAAAGAAGCCAACCATGGGTAGGATTCCTGTCTGTCGGTGAGGGGGCAAGCGTGGCAAGATGTGGATGGGAGGAAGAGGAAGTGGATGAGGCCGTCCCCTGCACGCTTGTCATTTAAAAAGTGTGTGGACTCTTGATGCTTCCACTGGCTACCATGTGGGCCCGAGGTGGGTGGGTCACATTCAATATGATCGTGATGGTGGTCGGGCGGCCGACACGCGTGCCCGAGGTGGACACCGAGTGGATGCATGGCATGTCCATCTTGTGTCCATGTGAACGCAAATCCGGTGCAAATTTTGGGCCTGAAATGCGTCCACGCGGACACGCAACGGACATGATTTGGGTTTGGGTTGGCGCGTTGGGCCGGTGTTTTCGTTCGTTTTAAGCAAAATGGACACGCGCAGACCAAATGCGTCTGCGCGTTGGAGTTTCTCCCAAAAGGCTTGAGGTTTGTGGAGGGGGGATTGTAAATTTTGGCACTTTTTTTAGATCATACATGTAAAATTTCATACATGTTCTCCATTATATCCACATGTGCTACGATATATTCCTTGATAGGTGGGACTACACCATCTCGGTCATGTATTCTTCTCCACTTGTCATTTTTCTTGCCAGAAGTCGCACACTCCACATCTCTCCGCCGCCCTTGTCTTGACCTCCTCGCCCGCCTTCCCCCATGCAACAATGCATTCACCCACTCCATGCCATCGTGTCTATGCTTCCTGACACTCATCATTCTAACACCCTTCTCCTAACCCGTGCTCAACCTCTCTCATCGTGGGGGCAGGGTGAACCCTGCTATCAAACAAGGTTCATATGCAAGGGAAGGAGAAGAGAAGAAGACAAGGGGGGGGGGGTTGACTATGCTGAGTCGCTCTTTATCAATTTCATGGGTTTTGTAAAACTTAACGTTGTTGCATCGTTCAATCAAGACCTTCTAAGGGGTTCAACTAGTGTGCAGTATTGAGAGATAAGAAAGGTAAAAAAAATTACCGGGGGAAATATGAGAATAAATGTGTGCACGAATGTCCAACAGATGAAGCATTGGCACTGAGGTTCAAATTATCCCTTGTGCAAAGGCTAGACTGTAATTGCCTTGCTATCAAGTTAGACATTTTGGATGTCATTAACACCATGAAGAAACAAAAGATGTTATGCGAGAACGGTGACAATCGTTTTTTATAATTCATTATTATATGGTTTGTGACTTCTCACTCATTACTTTTGAACATTGTAATAGAAAAGCGGACAAGGTCACTCATAAGCTTGCTAGATTGGCTAGATTGTTTACAACTTATGATTGGTTTGAGGAGCCTTTGAATCATATTGTAACCCTCCGTGTAGACGATGTAATGAACAAAGTCTTTCTGTTATTAAAGAAAACATTTAGGACCACAAGAGAAGGAAAATAGTGTATAGACTGTGTGATCCAGATAATAGCCGCCGATAAGCACACCATCGGTGGTCTTAACCCCAAAGCCCCCAGAAAATTTCGGAGCTTTAGACCAAAGTGCCAAAAAGGCGGCACGACCAAATCGACAAACGAGGCCACGGCGACCCAAGCTGGCAAAGCTCCCCTGAGGAAGACGGCGACGACACACCAAAGCAAAGCCCACGAGCCTCCCCTCCATCCCCACGAGCTCGCGCTCGTGCTCGCCTGCTCCCCACCAAAACCCTAAGCCCCCCACCCCGCCCCCCGCTCCAACCTGAGCTCTGCGACAATGTCGTCGTCGTCGAAATCGACGCGCTCCAGCATTTCCCCTTTCCGATCCCGCCGCTCGTCCGCGGTGGCGGCGCCCGCGGCGCCTCCAGCGACGAGGACCTCGTCGGGAGGCCGGGCGTCCACCCCAGCCTCCTCCGCGCGGCCCATCACCCCATCGTCTTCCTCCGGTGGCCGCCCCACCACTCCCTCCGCCGCCTTCGCGCGCCCAGCCACCCCTTCCTCCGCGCGGCCCACCACGCCTTCATCTACCGCCTCCGCGCGGCCAACCACGCCCTCCTCGGTTTCCTCGCGAGCGACCGGGAGGGCGCCGTCCACCGCGGCGGTGGACGCGTCCAATGCCAAAGAGAACATCATGGTCACCGTCCGCTTCCGCCCCCTCAGGTGCGCTGCTGATTTGCTAGCTTTCTGCTACTGAGGACGTGAGGTTCTGGGTTTTGTGCTTATGTGTTTCAAAATTGTTTGTATTTGTTGGTGTATAGTCCTAGAGAGATCAACAAGGGGGACGAGGTGGCTTGGTATGCTGATGGTGACAACATGGTGCGTAATGAGTACAACCCGAGTATCGCCTATGCTTTTGGTGAGTGCTTTTCAGCCCATTTCAGTTAATATTACATACTGTATTACAATGTAGATTGTGGAATCGGTGATGTTAAGGAAATGTCCTCACATGAAACAGAAGGGATTGCCATATTCGGGGTTTTCTTTGTGAAATGAGGGTAAAATTGTTTGATGACTAAATGCTCTGTTGGGGCCATCGAGGTGTAAATG